TTTTTGGTGATGTTGTACCCTTTTAGACTGGTTATACATTATATTTTGTAGTGTACTGTATCATAATTATATGATCCATCGCCCCGTAAGATTTATCGTTGGTTATAATTCAGTCATTTAATATTGAGAGAGAGAGAGAGAGAGAGAGAGAGAGAGAGAGAGAGAGAGAGAGAGAGTTAGCGTTAAATGTTAGTAATGTATTAATAAAAGCCAAGTTTATTTTTTCCGCTTGACAATGTATAGATAGAACATATGATGGTTATTTTGTTACATAACTCTGTTTGTCCTATTTTCGTCTTTTGGAAAGGTTAAAGAGGCCCGTAAGACTTTTTCAATCATAGCAAAATATATGTGGAAGAAATGACCAGCAATATCTTCCACGGTATTAACCTCAGTCATGTCCTATTCTCATCGTTTATATTTATTACCGAATTTTTTATAAATTAATTATCCATACTATAAAATGATAAAGCATTTGGGGTAACAGTTTTTGATTCAAGTGTTGTCACAATAAATGTGTTTTAAGCTTGAAATCAAATAAAATAGATAATAAAACTGTTATTCAGCTTTGATGCGTTGACCATGCTATTCTTTTTTTATTAATGGTATATTTTTTTTTCTAATGTAATTAAATATAATATTTTTATCACTATTATCGCTCATGATCATAATATGCCTCTCATAATGGTGACTGTGTTTAATTTTGGTACTTTCATCTTAGACACCAAAATAAACAAGAAATGGTTACAGCCAAAATATAATTAACGTCTTGTTTACAATGTAATAACAAATTTAGAATAATGAATTTAACAAAAGCGATTAAGTTTCATTTGAATTGAGAATGCATTTTCTAACATATATGTTTATTTTGGATATATGTTCCTTATTGTTGTCGTATACCTGAAGTCCGTACCTAATTAAATCAGGATTATGCTTTCTTCTTTTTTTTTTTCATAATGTTTGCTTGACAAAATCTTCTTATCAAGGGTTTACAATGCTTTACATGATGGTTGGCATAGTATTAATTACTGAAATAACTTCATTCAGAAGGAGCATTTTTAGTGATTAAAAATTCTTGTGACTTGTGTTAAAAGGACCATTTTTTTTTCATTTGAAAAGTGTGAGGTTGTTCTAAAAAACATCCTGTTGCAAAATGCTCACAGTTGTTTTTGTAAAGATTTTATGCTTACGAGTACTCTCAAATCGTACTTTCGTGTTAATTTGACCTGTTGATACAATTTTTTTTTTTTTTTGTTATTTAATGTTTACTTATTCAGTGGTTTATCTAGTTTCACTATTTTTAATATATACCACCTTTGATAAGTGTTTAGTATGACGAAACATTTTCACTTTTGTTCTCTTACTAGGAACAACAAAATTATTTATTTTGTAAAAATTATTTCCGTACTCCATGTATACCTTACAACAAAATCATTTTATTTACCTGTGTACGTTATTTTATTTGGCGGCATTTTGTCCAAGGTTATGGTTGTCTTTCTGGTATTGATTTACATCTAACTCCCTTGTTTTATTAATTTTGTATTAACATTGTGTCATAGATCAAATTTATTCGTTTAGTGTATGTTCACTTGTTTTTGTTAATATGTCTTTTGATTGAGTTAAGCCATTGCAATTGATATTTTATAGTGTGTCTTTCTATGTTGTGATTTTACACTATTGTTTCAGGTAGGATAAGGTTAGCGCCTATTAAAACGTTAAAATCCACTGCATTTGTTTGCACCTGTCCTAAGTCAGGAACCTGATGTTCAGTGGTTGTCGTTTGTTGATGTGGTTCATAAGTGTTTCTCCTTTCTCATTTTTTATATAGATTAGACCGTTGGTTTTCCTGTTTGAATGGTTTTACACTAGTCATTTTTTGGGCCCTTAATTTATAGTTTGCTGTTCGGTGTGAGCCAAGGCTCTGTGTTGAAGGCCGTACTTTGACCTATAATGGTTTTCTTTTACAAATTGTGACTTGGATGGAGAGTTGTCTCATTGGCACTCATACCACAGCTTCTTATATCTATTTACAGTTTTGTCTGTTTTTCAACTTAATGGGGCATTAGGCAGCAGTGTCTCTTGTTTCAATTGGTCTTCCATAAACAGGTCTGATCATACGATCGTTTTTTTAATGTTTTGGTTTGAATGGTAATGGATGGGTTTTTTTTACTACACCTGGTACATCTTTTGAATTTAGGATAGTATATAAAGTTGTATTTTGTTCTGCTGGTTGAACTGCTGAAACAATACCATGATGCTCATACCTAAATTTTGTTTTTGGAAAATATGTGATATGCTTTATGCAGTTGATTTATATCGTTAATTTTTCATACCCCATAAAAATCTGCAAATAAATAAGTTTGATCAAATACATTTTTCACAATTGTTCTATTGTAAATTCTTAAAATGAATTTGTATTTGTTAATGACCAATTTTTCCTCAAATAAACAAAACAATTTTTGCTTCCAGTCGGATGACAGTTCGTTGAAACAGTGGGTTTTGTGTTATGCGCGTCTATATAGTATCGAGTTTTGTTTAACGAAGTGCAGGATTTACCTGTATAACTGAGCTATTTTCAAACATAAACACCTAGTATTGTGTCACATTTGATAAAGACACTGACACTGAAGACGGCCAATTGTTTTTCCGATATATTTGTCAAATTGTTTGAAAACGACTTTAATGCTTCTTCGTATATCGCTATCTTATATATGTACCGTTGCACAAATCGTAAGACTTTAATGATGTTTTCCATATCTGTGTAGTATCGCCTAATCTAGACGGTCCAGTACATATTAAATTTGCCGATTAGTTTCTTTTATTATCAGTTTGTAATTATATCCAACATGTCCTGTTTGACCCTTACATGTTAATGATTTCTGGATGTCTCTCCTGGTGTTTTCTATGTTCGATGTTGTTTTATGAACAGAGATACATGTGGTAAGAGGAAATGACCTACGCAATCATGTACTTTGTTCTCAGTATTCATGTAATTTATAACAATTCAGATCAATAAGATATGAGTACAATTAAAAAATTACTCCCCTTCAACCATTATTTTGTTTTTAATTTTCAGCCATGTAACAAATGCTGGTTTATAAGCCTGGTATCTATGATAGCAGGAGCAAAATACACAAAAGTTATATAAGTCATCTAAGCTATCATTTAGTCAAATTGCCAAGTTTTGCAAAGATTATTCATGAAAAACACGTTTTTGTTAATAAAAAGAAATCTATGTGATAGCATTTTAAAATACAATATGCTTTAGGAAAACGAAGAGAAAAAATGGTGTCACCGAACTAATTTTCTTGCTACAAGTAAAGATATAACATTCCTTTATAATTTTTTTACAAAAAGAGTTATATCCCCTTAAATGGCTAGTTGAAAAGGTGGTTGAACAAAAGCAAATATAAAGTATTTCTTAAAACAGTCTATATAATACAATAAATCATTTATTTTCTTTATTCAAATAAACAGTCTAACCCATTAATTGACAATCTTTCGAAAAATTTGCATATTCAAGCAAAGAACTTTTACAATCCAAGATGGCTGTATACAGTAAATCTACCTTAACTGATTAAATGCCGTTCCATCTTTATATATTTATATGAGTTACCAAATTATGATGTAAAATTTAAAAACAAAAAAAAAACAGTACAACGTCCGTGTTATGTAATAGTTTTAACAGACAGTCTATGGTCAGGTGTCATTTTCTTCTCACAAATTGACGAACAAAAGGCATTTTTCTGAATAAAGTAAGCAGCTACTTCAAAGCAATTCCACACTAGTTAGAGTTCGTGTTATTATTTCGACGTATTTACCATTCAGTCATATTTCCTATAAGATTGAAACATGATGGGGGCTTTTTACACGGGTTTGGTTTTGCTTATTGCAGAAGGCCGTATAGTGAACCTATAGTTGCTTACATATACATACGTCATTTTGTTTTCTGATGGGTAGTTGTGACATTGGCAATTATAACACATAGGTGACCTATAGTTGCCACATTGACGTCATTTTTCTGTGGTGGATAGTTGCGGCAATAGCGATCATTCCACATGAGGTGCTCCGAAAAAGAAGCAGGATCGGCTCAATATCTGTCGTGTTGCTAATGGTGAGTACACATTCTGTTATGTGTTATTCAGTGATGTCATAATCGAGGTGAAGGACGGGATTGCCGTTTCGACACTTGGTACATTTGTGAAATATATATATCATAACGGTCACTCCAATCGTCATGGTGTCTGTAAAATTATCAAAGAGGTCACCTAAACTTTACCAGTTAGTAAACTTTTGTATCATGTTTAAGAATTTTTTAAGACTCACTTAACTAGTACAACAAATGTATTTAGACCTTTATGCTAATGAATTTAAAATTATGTTCTGCTTCATATCTCAATTTTTAAGATAAGTTGACATGTTCCTATTACTAGTTTATGTAAATTTCATATTTTTCTATGCGAGTGAGCAAATTTCAAAAATTAAACCGCAGAACTAACTCTTCATTTGCAAAAAAGAAGACTACTATATTCAAGAATTGGAAACTGTGACCCCAAGTCATATGGTTGCACTGTCAGTCAGTCTCAGATAAACTGAAATTAAAACGTAAGGCAGCAACTAGAAAAGTTATTAAAATACATGTATAGAAAACTAGATGAATATCATCGTTTATTGCAATTGCTTAATACTACTATTTATCTCGATGTAATCAGGGGTGTACGAAATTTTACACCGATATGTTATATTCCGTACACCCTTGATTACACGAATGTATTTCCTATTTCCTATAATTTATATGTATGAAAAATCTTTTCGTCGCCATTTTAGAAAATTTATATCGTTTCATATTGATGCGCGTTAAGTAATCTTACGATTTTATCCTTGGGTGTAAATTGCTAGGGCGAGTTGTTATTTTCTCAGCCGGATAACTAACCAATCTTGTTTCAAAAGAAATGAGGCTTTTTATCTGTTTTAAATGTATTAAACTATAAAGGTAGTGTTTAATATTTTATTGTTATGTTATGTCTCTTTTATGTATATTTTATCTAGGAAAAAAACATGTTGGAGGGCGACAATTAGCCCAGTAACGTTGTCTTTGTTCTACCCACGTGGCATTGTAACATCTCATTGGAGGACAGCATACTCCAGACATTGGTCGATAACATTTATAACCTATAAAAAATCGTTACAATTATTGGTGTAATCAATTTGTTTGGTCGTTATTTCACAGGTGTGAGTTAAATATCAATTTTGTTACTATGGAGGACAGTTGGTTCATGAAGAGCAATGCGAATTAATATTGATAACGATATGATAAACATAATATTCTATTTTGTATTCCAAATAAAATTCAAATATTTGTACTTGTGTTTTCTTTCTCTCCCAGGTATTACTTTTGATTTACATATCAGTATTAGATGATGCAGCCGATTTCGAAAAAAAGGTTCCGTAACACTAGTACGGAATTATGTATCATTCTTTCATATTGTATGAGAAAACATAATATAGAAACTACGAGTAGCCTGTATCGCTCACCTTTGTGTTTTCTTTTTGCATAAAATTGATACAATGCGAGATAAATATTTCCGTCTGTTGAAAGGAATTTCTATGGGCAAACATTATTGTTATGCTGATACTTAGAGCTGTTCAAAGTTTTCAATTTCTTCTTGTAGGTTTGTTTTGTTGATCATTTATTACTTTTTAAAGTTTCTCTCTATCTATTATTGTTTTGATATATTATAGCTAAAAACGCCAAATTTGATAAACTCCTTTATTTATGATTAGTTTTGTCTGTTTAATGTCAAGTGGCAAATATATCATGCATGTTCAAGACGAGAAAATAGGTCCTGTTATATAGGGTCGACCGGGATAGATGACGGGGTATTTTGAATGGCATTGGAAAATGAGGGTGTATTGGATAGGGACAACAATTGAGACTTGTAATTGCTTTCAAGATATTTGTGATTATATAATTACCCCCCCCCCTTTTATTCCTTTGTTCTTAATAGCACGATAGCTTTGATGTATGGAAGGCGGAATAAAAGGTCCAACTTTTTAAATACATTCCACAAGATGATTGTGACCTTGTTTGGTTCACATTCGAAAAATAGTTTCAAGAAGAAGATTTTTGTGAAAGATAACAGACACCAAACGAGGATGACAAATGCAAGTGAAGACGTTTGCTCACTCTGGCCTTTTTGTCCAGGATAGTTAGGAAGGAAAACATGCAATACAATTTGATGAAAAAAGAACCTGGTGGCATCAACTGTAATGCACAAAAAAAATGCACTGTCATCCCATAACCACTTATCACAATTCAGTCTTGACTTAAAACAAATATTTATTGACGAAAACTTATGAAACGAATATCCCTTGCATTAATATCATTTGCTTCTATTCAACATGGTTAAAATACAGATCCTGTGTTAAAGCTTTGCTTACAAGGATCTGAAAACGCCTCGTTATACTTACTGCTTTTTAAAGACCATTTGGGATCGTCTGATTTGTCAGATTAATACACACCTTCAAAAATTTTAAGGCTGAAATTGCATTGGCTGAAATAATAATTACAGAACTTCTAAGCAAAGCTTGGACACAGGATCTGTTGAAATTAATTAGATTGGGGTCTAATTATTGTAAAAATCATAATCTTCAAGGGAAATGAGTATTTCCGTGAACCAAATCTAAGACTGGAGGGTGGATAATAAATAGAAAACGATATTCAAGTCTATATTTTTCTAGTGGCTGAGTGTTCCAGAAATAAGAACTTCGTAGTTGATTTTATTAATTTTAGTTGCGTTTTTAAGGTTTTTGCATTCATTTGTTTTTTTAAATTAATTTCCATAATTTGTCATTAACCATTGTTTAGCTTTTCTGCTGTTGTCAGAATATGACAGCATGTGTTTCAAAGATCTTTTAGTGGTTCATACATTTACTTACCTGATTCACAACCGCAAGCAGAATCACAAATAGCTCTCTCCTTTCCGAGTAAACTGGAACATCTTCCACTTTGTGATGAACTTTTATGTTTCCCTAACAGATACATAATACATTTCAACAGAATGTTCGTTATATATGGACATTTTATTTTAAATATCCTTTCCAATTCAATGCAGATTTTAACTAGAAAAACTTATCAAACCTACGACATATTAATGTGCCTGTTATTAACCTCATTAAACGTTGTCCTCGTTCATATAACTAATTGTTTTTATTTGGAGAATTCGTTGGTAATGGTAGACGATGCAGGTGATGGACGTTTTAGAGCTTGCCAAATAGCAGAAACGCTAGCTATTGTTGAAGACTGTACATGTATGTTGCCCTCTGGTTCGTATTAACGCCTATTTAAGCCACATTAGCGATTTTTGAACTCGTATTAACGACTTTGTGAACGTAGAATTTTGATGTAAAATTAATTTTTACATGTAATACAAAACAACTTCTATTTAAAACTTCATAATTGACATTTGATATTCTACAACTCATATTGACAGTTTTTAACCAGCAACTTCAATAGAAAAATTGTGATGACTAAATATGTTTTATATTTGGAGAATTCGGTGGTAATGGCAGACGATGCAGGTGATGGACGTTTTAGAGCAAACGCTTGCCTATTGTTGAAGACTATACATGTATTTTTTATGCTGGTCGCTAATCCCAATTCTTATTTAATTCATATCTATCAAAATGCCATGTTGATGGTGCCTTATGCTAGCACAGCAGATTTGCTTTTTCCCAAAGAATGCAGAAAATGTGCCATTGACATTATGTAGCAGGCTTGTAGGTTTTTTTATAACTAATTGGACATTTGTTTCATACTTTTAACTCTAAAATACAAAACATATGGCCAGAATAACCTTAAATGATCGGCGAACAACCAACAATAATTGACGTTGCTCATGGGAAATAGTGCTCAACAGAATTTGGTACATTGTTTTTTTATCCCTACTGCTTTTGGTTAAGATGTTAAGGAATAATTGTATGAAATATTTCATCGCCGAAAATTTCTTAATACAAGTCGTTTGGGGCATAACTCTGTTTTACATGCTCTATGGAGAACTTAGGTTAACCAAACTAAGTCAAACTAATTATCACTGTGCAAATGCATTTTGGGAAAGTGATGTCAAAAAGATTAGGTTATTGTAATTGTAATTTGGCCCCAAAAAAATGATCAAAGTACATGTACCAACTATGAAGATTTTTACCAGGTCTCATCATATGTCGACTAGTCAGACAAATTTTGGTTCAGGTGTCGGACAGGAATTATTACAAAATTGCCAGTGGTTACAACATATGAATATTAGTTGTCATGAATAGATATAAGAAGATGTGGTGTGAGTGCCAATGAGAAAACTCTCCATCCAAGTCAAAATTTATAAAAGTAAACCATTATAGGTCAAAGTATGGTCTTCAACACGGAGACTTGGCTCACACCAAACAGCAAGCTATAAAGGGCCCCAAAAAATTACTAGTGTAAAACCATTTAAACGGGAAAACCAACAGTCTAATTTATATAAAAAACGAGAAACGAGACACACTTATGAACCTCATCAACAAACGACAACTACTGAAAATCAGATTGAAGTTTGCTTATCGATCAAGCTATTTTTAGAGACTGTCTAATGATACTTTCAGAACTATGATATGTCTGTTTAACTGTACTACAAAGTGAGAGATACATTGTATTATTGCACACTAATTATATATATAAGAAATACACCGAGTTATCAGTTATATAAAACAGTTTGAATTCATAATGATGATACATTATGTAAAAACATGAAATATGTTAGAATGTATACTTTACAATCCAAGAGCAAAGTTGAATTGTACCACGGAGAATTACTGATTAAGCAGCAGTATTTTGATTGTCGATTTTAATTTTTTTTATTTACAGAATATATATTTGTCACTTGTTTTTAATATCTAAGAAATGAAGAATATAAACATATAAAAAAAGACGGACAAAATATTTGTATAAAATTTGTTGTAAATTTAATAGATTGACCACTTAGAAGTACAATAATGTAAAAGAAAATTAAAAAGATAAATACATTGCATCATTGCTAGGCCAACAAAATCATCATTTTGTGTTATATGATAAACAATAACCTTACACCACCTCAGATTGTTCCCAGTACAGAGATGGGGTCGATTACTATAAAATGTAATCGATTAAATTACAATTTCTTTGCTACATTAATGTAATCGATTACATTACAATACAATTATACCTAAATTCAAATGTAATCGATTACATTAGATAATTTTCTTTAAAGTAATCATGATTACTTTGGATTACTTATGATTACATTGTATATTGTATATTGTAATATTAAAGAATTTCTTTTAAACTTTTTATCCTCACGAACAAGCTAAGTTTGTTTTTTTTTGTTTTTTTTTTTTTGTATCCCTATTTTATTCATCTTATCAAGAAAGCAGACAACTAGGAGCAGTGTAACATGTGTAAAGTTTAAAAGCATTGACAAGTGTCCTTTTCTGTAAAAAATATAACATTGTTTTTATAAAAATTTTCTCAGACATTGAATCTTTAAAACAGGATATATTTTTTAAAGTAATTTAAAAAAATAAATTATAAAAAACGGTTATATGGTATATCGGTTGATAAAAGTGTGTAGGATAGTTGAAATCAGTGCAGTACAAAAAAAATATATACTTGAGATATAACAAGCTGTGATAAACAATTAAACTACCTCTTCCACAGTTTTCACCATTACTTTTGCCTTGGTTTGTGATTTACTGCCTATAGCGCTCACAGTGCTTTGGTAGAATTAAAGCTTTGGGCTCAGTAGTAAGTACTAACATGATTACCATATTTCTCTAAAGTTCTCCGTCAATCTTTTATACAAAGTTGACCTTAGAAGATGTTCGCTATTTTGTTATGGTTCCAATTTGTAATATAGCTACTAACGTTTATCCATATTAAAACATCCCTGGCTTTCCAATATTTGGCTTTGAGTATTCCTGATGAAGATATATTCAGAAAATCGCGCCTGTTAAAAAGTTTATACCCGCCGCATTTGTTTGCACCTGTCCTAAGTCAGGAACCTGTTGTTCAGTGGATGTCGTGTGTTGATAAGTGTTTCTCGTTTCTTCTTTTTTTATATAGATTAGACCGTTGGTTTTCCTGTTTGAATGGTTTTACACTATTCATTTTTGGAACCCGTTATAGCTTGTTGTTCGTTGTGAGCCAAGGCTCGGTGTTGAAGGCCGTACTTTGACCTATAATGGTTTACTTTTACAAATTGTGACTTGGATGGAGAGTTGTCTCATTGGTACTAATACCACATCTTCTTATATTTAAAAACAACTATTAGATTTCGAAACAGAAAGTAATGTTATCCCAATCTTACTTGAAGCACATGAGATCACCCCTGGTTATTGGTGGGGTGCGTTTTGCTCAGTCTTTAGTCATCTATGTTATGTTTTGTATTTCATTTTTTTTTTAATCTTTATTTTGTATTGTTTTTCTTCTTCTTTTTTTTTTGCAATGGCGTTGTCAGTTTGTTTTAGACTTATAGTTTGAAGGTTCCTTTTTGTGCTTTTTGCCTCTTTTATATAACTGGTAGATGGTACAACATCCCGAAAACCGACATGTACAAAAACCGTATGTAATGCATTCGTTGGTGATAAAAAAACAGTATTTATATATATAGGTAGTAGCAATATTATATCTGAGCTAATCAGGAAAAACATGTGCATACTTATCCGCGCTGTAAATGAAAAAAAAAAATTCATTATGACGATGTCAGTTTTCATACACCTAAACAATTTTGACATTTTAATCATGTATCTTTAGAATGTACTTGTGCTCATTGTTGTAATGGAATGTAAGTCCAGTATAATACTCTGTAAAATTTTGTCGAAATAACACGCGGCAATTTAACAAATAAATCGAAATTTTCATTATCTTTGAAATGCATGAATAATAAGAGAAACTGTATTTAAAATGTGCATTTGTATCTTGGTTTATATCTGTAACCGAAATGCGACAGTAGAAATTGTTATTCGATTGATTTACTTTACTGACTGTACATACTGGTAGGACACATTCTACTTATGAGACAGTTTCAATTAGCATTGATTGATAGGTTATTTCTTCAACATAGTAGTTAATTTAACTGTATAAAGCTCTTAAACAAAGTTCATGGAAAGTCTGAAAGAACGTAGTATGTCGACATGTAGTAAATGTTATTTCTCTGTGCATGTGAATTAAAGTTCAAGGTCAATATTTAATTTATCTATATAAAGGCTAGATATGTTGGTGTGTTAGTCCGATAAATAGAACAAGATAACGTTCTTTAATTTTCATTTTTCACTTTACAAAGACATAAACGTTTTGGAATCTAAAAATTTTTGTTGATTTTTTTTGTATTTGAAATAAAGCGAGTGTATTATACATAAATAATTACCAAAGTGTTGTTGACCAGCAAGTGCATGACCGTCAGCATCCCTACAGCAAGGTTTGGCTTTGCTACATTCATATGACTTTTTACATTCGGTACTTTTTCGTATATGATAATTTGTACACCACACAATTGCTATCAAACTCTAAAAAAATGATGAATGAGGTGAATAGTGTTTGGAGGCAATATTCTTCATAATTTAAAACAGGAATATCCTTTTCTAGTGAAATTAAATGACGATTCTATTAGACACAAATTAAGACAATTCACAATAATAGATTTTGGAGATTGCATGTCTTTTTTGTGTTTATTTGTTCATATTGATATGCATCATTCATTCATCTTTTTTCCAGATTTTGTTACAATTTTATTACTATTATATATTTATCAGTATCTTATTAACGTCTGTCACTCAGACTCAGAATTTCGGATACCGAATTAAAAAGTTGAAGTTAGAAGTCAGTCTAAAATGTATAATTTGATGCGTTTATTGTATAAAAATATCGTTTTTTTTTAAGTATTTAGAAACGTTTTTGTACTTCCTTTTAGCATATACATCACTAATAAGAACACGAATTTTAAGGGAAGTTCTCCCCCTTGTGATCCCTTTAACGATTAATTGTGTTGTTAAAAGAGAGAAAACAATATACCGAGGGGACAATAAAAAATAATTATTCTAATAAAGCAGACACCACTATGGCTAAAAGGAACATTGGGGTTGAAGTCGGGAGGTTCAGAAGAAACTTTAGTTCCGGTTTTACTTTTCACACTCGTCGTGTTACTCATTGAAAGTAAAAATGCTGTCGAATTCGATAATATCCCAATTAAGATAAGATCAACTTCTTTTGCAGTAACCATTTTTATATACCATTAACAAACATTTGCTCCAAAAATCTACTCATATATATGTTGTGTACAAGTTATCATTTTGTACAAATTATATTGTACAAAAAAAATTGTATGTTAACTTTGTACAAATTATAATTTATCCAAAATATGCTCGTACAAATTAAAATTTGTACAAAATTTGATTAAATTCACTTATTAATTGAATAAAGGATATATGATAATTTAACACGATAAAAAAGATGGCCTTTTATATATTTTAACAGAAATGCATTTAATAGCCTTGAATTCTTTTGGACTGTTAATTATTTTGGGTTAAATTAATTTAATAAGTTGTCAAAAATATATATCCCCGGTGTTTGTGAACTTTTGATGATATAGTGTAAACATTGCCAGCATTGTTGGTCAGCAGGATAAATTTGTCCAAGAAATTCTGAACCTGGCAGAGAATAATACATGAAAGCACAATCATGTGTTCACCAAGGATTGTTGGTACTGCACTTGAACAGCTGTAGAAATTTTAACAGGATATTTGTCTAGAATTCAAATTCAAGCTGTTAAAGATAAATGTTTATTCATAGCAACGGTTCATGAGCTTCAACTTTCGCTACGTGAAGCAGTTAAAAAGCTTTAAAACTGGTGGTCCGGGGTTTCTTTCATGTAATGCAAACAGGGTGCAGTAATTGTTATTGTGAAACAATGGAATAATTTTGAATTCTAGAAAATAGATCAGAATTGTATGATAAAAACTAAGCCAATTAGGGAGGATTAGACATGCATGCACGGTTAAGTGTTGTAAGTAGGTACATACCGAAATATCAGCTAAAGTAACTTAAACCTACATTTCTTCTCAATTTCCCAGAATTCAAAATTATTCAAGATTCAAATAATTTCTTGTTTAATTGTAAAAAGCAAAGATGTTGTGCAATTCCCGATCCCATAATTCTCTCACATGCTCAAACAAATGTTATAGAACTATTTTTTTTTTTTTTTATTATTATGTAAACAAGGTTTACTGTGTGGACATTAAAAAGAAATGCTATAGAATGTATCAATGCTTTTTTAACCTAATCCATATTATAAATTATTGTATAAGTTATAAGTAAATTCTTGACAAATTTTGTACAAATTGTAAGTTATATAAGAACTTTTGGACGAATTACAATTTGTACCAAGCTAAAATACAATTATAATTTGTATAATTTTTTTGTGCAATTTATGATTTGTACAAAATGATAACTTGTACACAACATATATATTAGCCTCAAATGTATGTGCAGCCTGAATTCTATATTGCATCATAGAAGTAATAAATCTATGTCCATTCTTTTCTCAAATCAGTGTCCTTTTCAACAAGTCATGCAGTCCTATGTTAACGTCAGATTTATCACAAGGTCTTCCTGTAAATACTTGTGTTGCCATAAGATTTTATATTTTCAAATAGAATTGAAAATATCATGTATGGAAAACTACGTAAGGATTAGTAAAAAAAGGGATATGCTGGAAACGTTTCATTGACCGATTTTTGTCTGAAAGCAAGAGAAGGGAATTTGGAGTAAGAGGGAAAGGGCGATTTAGGAACTCCAATGTTAATCCCCTTTACTTGGTCGCTTACTGTTTTTCCTCATATTAAAGAAAAGTTTTAGAATAATAATTCCTTTTTTTTATAATAAGTTAGCCTTGTTTTCATTTCTTTTTTTAATCAATTTTGTTAAATAGTTTAATCAAGTCAGTAGTGATAACAGTCAACAGTTTTGTTTTTTGAATTTTTTTGAATTTTTTCAATTTCACCTCAGAGATAAATATATACACTCATTATTCAATTATACTATATCATTCCATATAAACAGCTATACAATCCTTTGCCTATTCCATACCCAGTTTAAGATTATATATATATATATATATATTGTCGTTAAATATAATAAAAAATAGCTCATGACATATATAATTTTTTGTTCCATATAAATAGAAAGTTTAGATAATCAACTATCATTTATGTATAGTCATTTTTCATAGATAAATTGATCAACCTATAAGTCGTTTTGTTCCATCCCTAATAAGTTGGTGGTGAGTGGTGCAAGTTAACCTTGCCGCATTCTATGTGCCTGTCCCAAGTCACGTCATATTACGGAAGGCCTACTTTATAAACAGGAGAAGGATTTTTAAAAAGACCAAAGGGTTACTTGTTCAAAACGTCACGGAGCACAAATCATGTGAAATAACATATATTGGAGACTTGGCAACCGAAAAGATACAGATTTGAGTGTCATGACGTCATGGAACACATATTCCAGAGAAGAACATAAATTTGAGGCCGGAAATAGATTTGACTCTTACGTATATTTACAGAAAAGTTCGTTTTAAACCGTGTTTCATGTTACAAAGAAGGCGGAAGGACCTTTTTCGGGACTTCGGGATTGAGACGTTTAATTCGCGGGGATTCAGGAATGGCCAGTTATTTCGTCGGGAATTCGGTTATTAATTATGTTGCGATGCGGAACACACACATTATTTTCACGGGAAATCGAGATTTGACATTTGTTTTGTCTGGAATTTGGAATGAGACCTCCTTCTACACCCAAACCCCACCAACCCCCAACATATATAGTCTATTCCAACAAAATATGTGCATTCAACACACAAACAATACATGCAGTCTATTCTCCCCTCCGTTATGTTTCATTGCAATAGGTCGAGATACGATCTGGTAGTTTGGTTATGTCGAATATTGTCGTTGTATTGAATCTCTAATAGAAGTTTTAAAAAAGCATTTAAATCATTTGAAAGATTGTTGACTTAATGTTCATGACTTTATTAAAAAGCGGATGATCGAAACTTTTTGATGAACAGGCATTTGGTACAACAACATGTGGCGAAAACATTATGTGTTTGGTCAAACCGTGGAAAGTTTGATGATCAACTCAAAGTCAAAGTGAAAACATTCCAGCATTTATATTGTCCCTTTTGGTGGCTTTTCTCCTTTACACTTCGGTCAAAATATAAATAACCTTCTGATTTCTACTGTAAGCATTGTTATACGCAGTGTTCAGCATCGTTAAATGTTAAGAGTCACACGGTCATTTTTTTTTCACCAAATAAAATTACAATATTTTCAATAATGTTAAACATTTCAAATATAAGCTACAGTAGTTAACCGATGATCAAATCTTATTTATCGATTAAGAAGGCAAATTTAGGATGTACTTAGGTGAAATTAAAAAAAAAAAAAAATTCAAAATTGATACTATATGTCGGAAGGGCATTAGTTAAGGGACAAAATAAGCTAAAAATATATGGGGCTCCTTTTCGAGATATCTATTGGTTTTAAAATGGCGGAAAAAGGCTGACTCAGGAATTTTGGGTCCTCAATGCTCTTCAACTTTGTACTTGTTTGGCTTTGTAACTATTTTTATCTGAGCGTCACTGATGAGTCTTATGTAGACGAAACGCGCGTCTGGCGTATTAAATTATAATTCTGGTACCTTTGATAACTATTTACACCACTGGGTCGATGCCACTGCTGGTGGACGTTTCGTCCCCGAGGGTATCACCAGCCCAGTAGTCAGCACTTCGGTGTTGACATGAATATCAATTATATGGTCATTTTAATAAATTTCCTGTTGACAAATCTTTAAATTTTTCGAAAAACTAAGGATTTTCTTATCCCAGGAATAGATTACCTTAGCCGTATTTGACACAACTTTTTGTAATTTTGGGTCCTCAATGCTCTTCAACTTTGTACTTGTTCGGCTTTATAACTATTTTGATCTGAGCGTCACCAATGAGTCTTATGTAGACGAAACGCGCGTCTGGCGTATTAAATTATAATCCTGGTACCTTTGATAACTATCTGACTTTTATCTTATATTTGCATTGGTATTATTTGGGTCTCAAATCGAAAGAAAAGAAATCTCGAATCTGCTTGAATTTTGGAAAATGACCTTTTATTAACTATTGAAGTCTTATATGAAAAGCAAAATGGGTGTTATGGGGCAAAATATTTTACCTTGTATCATAGGAAAAAAACCAAGGAGTCCGAACATCTGACACAAATTCATTAAACCTGACCTAAGTACATCCTTAAGGTAACAAAAACAATTGAAAATCCATTTGTACTTAATGCACAATTCGGGGAAAAAATCTTCATAGGAGCCAAATGAAGGCGAGAGTATAGTTAACCGGTGTTCAATTCTCTTAAATCGTTGAAGAAGAGACCAATCAAAGTAACAACCCAAACACTATAATAAACGTGAAAAGAAGCTAACCTGGATGCGCCGACACTGTAACAAACTCATTAAGGTATCAGGCTAATAATTTGGTACGCCAGATGCGCGTTTCGCCTACATAAGACTCATCAGTGGCGCTCTATTTAAAAAAGATAAAATCCAACACGAAATCATAAAGCGTTAAAAAACGAAAAATTCCGAAAGAGTTATGCCTAAAACGGCTGAGCCAATATTTGCCTGGGTGTAGAATAACCTCAGTGTTTAGAATAATTCAATATCGTATCCTGCTATGCATTCATTACCTGCCATTCGAATCCACACTCAGTCAAAAGTCACAAACGATATTAAACACAATCGGTAAGATTATCGATCTACGACTATTCTGGCATTTAAAGATCTAAGACCGCGAAAACATGTCGCTAGTGAACTGAGACATCGACACATCCTTTCGATCAATCTGTTCGTCTTGTTGACCATAATTCTTCATCCACATAACTCTGTTTAATCAGTTTTTGGACAAAGAACATTCCCCTATAAATGAAATCTGTAGAGTGTGAACATGGACCAGCTAAAAAAGACTTTGATTGACAAGAGTGCTTTAAGTCGTATATTTAAGATGCATATATATATAAAACAAATGATAAAACAACGTTCTCACCAGTATTATAAAACTCTGCATCCTTTTAATATTATATCCTTATTTTCAAATATGGTACATGCAGAATCCACCACTTCCCAAAAGTCCTCAGACTACTCCCTGATTTAACGACCACATATTGAGCGACAGGTTGTAGTTGGTATTGAAGTATTAATCTGATGTAATATTTACATTTAAGCCTAGATCAGGCCTGTAGTTACATTATATTTCATAGCTTTTCAGATGTACTTTATTGTCAAATTAATCTTGTTATTGAATGCGTAGAAACTTACATTCCTTGGATAAACCAGGCTTTTGATTAAACACACAACCGTCCGCACTCGAGGCTTGTAGTCACATTATATTTTCTGAGGTACTTTATTGTAAAACTATTCTTATTATTGAATTAATTTAGTTACATTATATTACATAGCTTTTCAGTTGTCCCTTATTGTCTAATTATTCTTTATTATTGAATTCGCACTCGAGGCGAGCACAGTGCACAGTATAATTTACTAATTTTCCATTATAATAATTAAAACATTTGTCGTATTATGAACTCGTTACACACATTTCTAGGATAAACAACATTGTAAAAGAGGGACAGTCAAACTCATAGATCGAAAACAAACTGACAACGCCATGGCCAAAAATAAAAAGACAAACAGACAAATAATAGTACAGATGACACAACATAGAAAACCAAAGACTAAGCAACACGAACCCCACCAAAAACTTGGAGTGATCTCAGGTGATCCAGAAGGGTAAGCAAATCCTGCTCCACATGTGGCACCCGTCGTGTTGCTTATTCTATTACAAATCCGGTAAATAGTCTAATTCGGTAAGTCACATTCGTGAAAAGGGAGGGTATTATACTTACGAAATAAGGAACATATCCGATATTATCTGTGAAACGGTTATTCCATAACGGTCAACCAACTCGTGATGGCGTCCGTAAAATTTACGCAGGGATGACTTCAACTTCACCATTTGGAACTCTTGGTTTAATAGCTTCCTTGTGAGCAGCAATCCTCTATCAAGGAAATCATGATAGGAAACACAAGCCCGGGAATATCGTATCAATTGGGAGATATATACTCCGTATGCAGGCGCTGCTGGAATGTTGCTACATAGAAATGGAAAGTTCACAATTGTAAAGCTGAAATCATCTTTTTTGTCGTAAAGTTTTGTTTTCAACCGACCTTGCCTTAAACAAACCTGCTACATGACAGTCTATGAAGCTAAGGTTAAATCTGTTTTAACTTTTGAAATAAACTTGAAGTCAAAGTTTATTTAAAATTCATTTTACCCTTATATATATCTTGCATATAGAAATGGAACTTGTAAAATTTAACAACAGTTCGCGGATCTAAGAAAACAAACCATCACAAAGTGAATTATTCTCAACTTATTCGCAAACTGAATAAATACTAGTATCCGAGGTTCTTTTTTTTGTGAAATGTGTGTGTCAACGACCAAGTTTACAAATCTATAATGTCTACTTTTCATCTAAAGGATGCAATCATGAAAAAATATAGGGATCATTCTACGAGCCTGAACTTCATAAGACAAATCAAGACGTGTACACTATCGAAAAGGTTAGTTGTATTGCTCAATATGTTTTATAAATTGAAGTAGACAGACCTGAATGCTGATTTTCAATAATAGGATTTATATTAGATCATTAAATGTAGTATAAAAAATAACCGTGAACCGGAAACATGTGGTGGATTTGGGTTTATAGACAACGAGCTAGATTTCGGATGAAATAGGAAATCCTATGTGTTCGTTTGAATTTAAAAACGTCAGATGATATAGAAATATATTATATATGTATTTTGGTCATATATTATAGAAAAAGATTTTAAATGAAGACTCTTATTTAACAACTTTAAAGTACCCACCTAGCATACGGCTGTATAACTTACGGCTGTCATACAAGTGAGAGGTTTAGCTAGCTATAAAACCAGGTTTGATCCACCGTTTTCTACAAAAGGAAATGCCTGTTCCAAGTCAATTGTTTTCCGTTCTTTTGATTTGTTTGAGCTTTTGATTTTGCCATTTGATAAAGGACTTTCCGTTTTGATTTTTCCTTGGAGTTCGGTATTTTTATTATTTTACTTTTTATATATCATCTGAAAGCTTATCATTTGTACTTTGTATTTTGCATGGTCATAAACAAATCCGTTGAATGAACCTTCCAAACTTTTGCTAGAATAAAACAAAATATCCTTATCTGGTTCGAATTTTTATACGATAAAATGTGTATTTAAATAATACGAACCTGATAGAACACAATGATTCAAAATCAAACGTAAAGTTAACAGTATTTTTATGAGATTTTGTCTTACTTGTTGGAATGTTAACAATGCTTTGGTTTTACAGTCTACAATAGATATAAGAAGATGTGGTATGAGTGCCAATGAGACAACTCTCCATCCAAGTCACAATTTGTGAAAGTAAACCATTACAGGTCAAAGTACGGCCTTCAACACGGTGCCTTGGCTCACACCGAACACCAAGCATTTAAAGAGCCCTAAAAATGACAAATGTAGAACCATTCAAACAGGAAAACCAACGGTCTAATCTTAATAAAAAACGAAAAACACTTATGAACCACATCAACACACAACAACCACTTAATAACAGGTTATTGTCTTAAGACAGGTGAAAACAAATGCAGCGGGTTTAAACGTTTTAACAGGCGCAAACCTTCATCATCCTAACCTGAAATAACAGTGTTACATCACAACATAGAAAGACACAATATAAACTATCAATTGAAATGGCTTAAATCAATCAAAAGACATATTAACAAAAACAAGTAAACATATAAGTTTGATCTATGACACAATGTAAATACAAAGTTAATAAAAAAGGGGGTTGAGATGTAAAACAATATAAGAAAGACAACGATAAACTTGGTCAAAATGCCGTTTAATAAAATAACGTACACAGGTAAATAAAAATAATTTTGTTGTAAGGAGTACATGGAGTACGAAAATATTATTTACAAAATAAATAAATTTGTTGTTCATAGTACAAGAACAGAAGTGAAAATTTATCGTCATACTAAATACTTATCACAGGTGTTATATATTAAAAATAATGAGACGAGATATAACACAAAATAAGTAAACATTAGATAATAAAAATGCATTGTAAATTGTATCAACAGGTCAAACTAACACGAAAGTACGATTTGAGAGTACTCACAGTTACTGAAAGCTAGTTCAAAACAATTAATAATAAAAAAATCATTCATCAGAGACTAAAATCAACTAAAACACATCCCAGGAATTTAGTGTTTTAACGTCATGGACAGTCAAAGAAGACATGACTTGTGCAATGCCAAAATAAAAGTATCGACAAGCAGTAGGATAGTTACGATTTAACCTTAAATAAATATGTAGAATGTTATATATAGATGAAGTAATCTCTAAATAGAAAATGAACGTGGATGTGTATTTATACATCCCAAAAAACATTTGAAATGAATACAAATTTAGTTATGTTTTAATGTTCTTTATAAATTGTATACCATATACATTCCATTTCATATAAAAAGTATATTCAGTAACTGGAAAACAGTAAAAAAAATATCAAATGACAACATTTCTTTTTTTACATATAACTTTGTAGTACGCGTTAAAAATTTCCTTTCTCAATGCAAGCCATTGGACTTTAAACTTACTCTTTTCAATTGAAAACTGTAACACCACGTAACTGTTGCAGTTCGGCAAGTAAATGAATTACCATCTGAATTTGATAAAAAAAAAAAAACAATTCCTTAACAAAGATATTTGATATAAAGATATGCGCAGAAAGAATGGAAAATACAATATATGTAATCCCCATTTTGAAATTTAGTAATACTTATATGAGTTCTACACTTGACTCTATCCGTCTCCCCATCCTATATGAACTTAAAAACGTAGAATTTAGATCGTTTAGCTGTAACGGGTGTCAATTCGGCGGAGTAGTGAACTAATGGATCAATCTTTGAAATTTGAGAGTATAGACTATAGTGACTCTAACTAGTTATGTTAATTATCTGTGTTACCAGCTTTAAATTATGATCAAAACCTTCTTGGCACTTTTTCAAAAATAAATATAAAATATACAATTGAAATTAAAAGAAATATGTTTCTATAAATTGAAGGCGAGTATGTGAACACAGAAAATACATTTTGGTGAAAGTTTTTGGCAGTAGAGAGACTAAAGATACTGAAGGAACATTCAAACTCATAAGTCTAAAACAAACTGACAACGCCATGACAAAAAAAGAAAAAGACAAACAACAGTATACAAAACACAACATAGAAAACTAACGACTGAACGACACGAACCCTATCAAAAACCGATGGTGCTATGGAAGGGAAAACAGATCCTGTTCCACATGTCGTGTTATTCATGTTAATACAAACCCGGTGATAAGTCTAATTCTGTAGGTCACATTCCTGAAAAAGGAGGATTAGGTTGTGGTTACGACGATTGGAACATATTCGTTATCATCTAAGAAACAGATATTTCATAACGGTCAACCAACTTGTGATGGCGTCCGTAAATTTTAGATGGGAAGTCTTGGTTGGATAGCTTCCTTTGTTAGAAGCAACCCTTTATCAAGTAAATCACTATAGGAAACGCAAGCACTTGAATATCTTTCCAACGTGAAGATATATACTCCATATGCAAGCACTGCTTGAATGCTGCTACATAGAAATTGAAAGTTCAAAATTGGGAAGCTGACATCATTTCTGTTGTCGTAAAGCTTTGTTCTCAACCGACCCTCATTGTCAATTTCTAGATGTAAGTTAAGATGTGAAGATCAGATTTTTTTCAAGGGCATTAAAATTCAGAAACGAACTTGCTAATACTTTTTGTACATTATTAAAAATCGACTCTACATGATTTTAATTTTTTTTTTCATCCTTTATAATATATGAATTTCACGCCTTTTTCTCTGTCCAACTATTCAGACTTTACTACTGTTGATATATCGTCTCTTAAGCCATCGGTGTACAATGACAAATGCTTTCTACCATTTGTCAATGAAACTAATAAGAAGATGTGGTATTATTGCTTAAAAAAGCATCCACCAGAGACTAATTGGAAATGACGTAGATGTGATAAACTATAAGGCTTGATATGACAATCAACAATGATCTAAACATTTACCATATAGTAAGCTATAAAAAGCCCCCCTATTACAAGATCAGCATGTAGGGCATGACATTAACAGTACCAATTTTTCTGCAACAGATCAGCACTTCGACAATGAAGTCTCTTCAGTAATAGCCGGATCAAAATATTTGAAAATTCAATTCCAAATCGTATTAAAAATAATTAAAGAGCTTATTAACCAAAAATGTTACATTTTTAGAATAATGCTTAGAAATCAAAATTGTCACATTTTGAAATAAAACATAAAAAGTTTGTTGACCTTGAAATTAAACTGTTGCTAATAGCACTTAAAGACTCTATTATTTATGTAGTTACAAAATATTGGACTGATGTTTTTCACCTCTAATGTAGAACTGAAAAAAACTTCTAAAGGACTTTGCTACATACTATTGTTATTATTATGACCACTGTTTTGATTCTGTTCGTCTTCGACGATTTAGTAAAAGATAGATGGGTTGTGTCAAATGCACAATTCTTTGGGCTGCCGAATTTTTTATTTGAACTAGTAACGCATGTGCTAGATTAGATTAACTAACAATACAATCTGCCGATTAACAACGCGACAGTTATATGTATAGCCGAAGAAACGAAGATTGAAGGTTTTTTTTATACAAATCATGTATCCTACATACCTGTTTATCTGTAAGTATAACGGTTTAAAGAATGTTGATGTATCCAACAAAGCTCAAAGATACTGTTTCGTAAATATGCAACAAAAAGGGCACTTGTTGTCTGATGATTAAACTTTGAAATACTACATTATTGAATGGTTATCTCATATTTTTATTTAGTCTATTGCCTGACTTTGTATAAGTGGATATAAAAAAACATTTTATATTCTAGAGGGAATTAGTTTTGTTTTTCAACTAGCCCGATGTGTTGTTTTGCTCTTATGATTTATTTCAAATATCTTCTAGTTAACTTAATGATAAAAAAAAGACGCGGAAGATACTAGAGGGGCGTTCAACATGTATCATTTGATAAGTCTCATTCGGTGATGCAACAATAGGTAAAGCATTTTGAAAAATTGATAGAATCCAGATTTATATATGTATAATGTCCTTTACATTATAATCCTCATTTCACTAAGGACTTACGTTCTTACATTTCATTATATACTAGAAATATTTGAAATTCGATGAGACCTCATCACACCTGCGTCATGTTTAGAATTATTTTTTTCTCTAATTTGATAAACAGTTAAAAAAATGATCTAGTAAGTTTAATTTTATCTATTGACAACTCTTGTTTCATTAATCACAACATAGTACATGTCCTTGGTTCCAGTGTGGTCGAAGAATCTCTATTTTCATGATTTGACATTGTAGTATATTTTAGGCTTGACCGTTCCTGATGAAGTTTAATCCATAAAAGTGCTCTGAAAAAAATACAAAATGTATAAAGAGGTATTTATAGTGTCCCTAATATTTAGTTTTGCTTTATAAGCTAAATGTCAGAGCCACTTTATTTAAATAGTGTAGTTCCTTATAGCACGGAAAACGAACTGAAAAAAGAAATCCGATAAAAATATCGTTTTACAGCTTTACATCTCGCAACAATAAATGCAGATGAACATTGCCATTCTTGCTGAGATTTAAGACAGATATATAATAATGAGTCTTATATGAGTAAGCTTTCAAATGCACTATGTTACTTAAAGTCTTATATTTATTTCTTTTTTTAAATCCATAAGGAGGGACATTGGAACAATTATTATTCAAATAAGTACGGAAGAAGTATATCTGAGATAAACACTTAACTAAAAACGTAAGATAGCATCGTGATCAGAGAAAATTTAAGATAGATAGCAGAATGTTACCGATTTTCACAACTACATAATACAACTGGTCTTGCCCTGTGTTACATGAAGTAAACAATCAATACGGAAATTGATATTTTATTTTGTTATGGTATGACACATTTTATACAGGATAATAACATGTTGGCGGGTGACAATTTGCCCAGTACTGTTCTTGTTGTTTTACCCAGGCGGCATCATAACATTTCCTTGGAAGACAGCATACTCCAGTCACTGGCCGATAACATGTTAAACCTGTCAAGTATTTGTTGCAATTAGCATTTCATAGAGTTGTCTGTATTATTTCACTATTTTACTCACGGCTGTGAGTCAAATAAAAATGGCATTTCCGCAGATGATAGATTGTATATGACGATAAATGACGAGATTATTTTCAAAATTACATTCTGTTTTTTTTTTTTTTTTTTTTTATTGTGTATGTATCATTGAAAACATGTATGTGGTTTGTTTTTAATTACAGTTTTAACTTTTAATATTCTTGCTATTAACCATAACTTTATATTGTATGATACAACATCAATCACGAAATGATAAATAATCCCACTCAGTAATTATTTTACATTCGTATGAAAAAAGCGTGTAACATCCACTGTTTTGACTCACAATCTGTACTGATAAAAAAAATATTGGAGGACCTACGAAACGTATGACCTTATTGGAGTCATTATTTTGTTTCGTTGTAATGTTTTTATCATATCTTTGTAATTTTTTTTTCTAACTACAAGCCAATTTAAAATCTATTTTGATAGCAGTGCTAAAATTTTAAACAAAACACAAATTGAAAATAAATCACAAATCCGAGACTTGAATTATCTTACTGTGAAATCTATAGATAAGAGCAAAGCAAAAATCTTGGATTCGGTTTATTATTTTTTATATAGTCAAAAAGGTTTTGCAATATTTTTTTTTATTTTTAATTTTACACTTTTGATTGTCTTACGTGTTTTGAACGTTGTTCAGCTAATATGAAAATATAAATTTTACATGCATTGTTGTCGCTAATTACAAAACCAGGTTTAATCCACCATTTTCTACATAAGGAAATGCCTGTACCAAGTCAGGAATATGACAGTCGTTTTCCATTCGTTTGATGTGTTTGAGTTTTTGATTTTGCCATTTGATAAGGGACTTTCTTTTTTTGAATTTTCCTTGGAGTTCGGTATTTTTGTTATTTTACTTTTTCATGGTGCGTATATTAAAAAAAACATAACTAACCTAAATTGCAACCACAAGAAGAATCGCAAATATCCCCCTTCTTTCCAATTACACTTGAGCAAGTTCCACTGAGTGGTAAACCTACAGAAGGTAAAAATGGATAATTTTGATATATATTAGTATCATCTGTATGGTACAATGTATATAACATATATAAACATCAAAATTTTAAACTTCAAACTAAATATATTTTACGAAATACCCAGCTGATTACGATTATCATTATAACGCAGAATTTAAACATCCATGTCTTCGTGAGCATTATGATTTAGAGTATTTAAGTAGAAAAAGAGAATACATAACATAATTGATTAGTAAAACAGTCGAATGTATTTATCAACTGATAAGGTTGGGTTACATATACAGTATATGTGCATTATTGAGGAAAATATAATTTATTTATACGAGCTTAAGAAACGTATCTCCTGTTTAACAGCGAATACAAATTTTTGCTTATTTTCAGACAGTGTATGCATATTGTTGTTATACTGTAGTTAAACATTGACACTTATATAGTCATATTTCTTTTTAATTACAAGTTGTTCAGTTTAGAAATCGACATTGCATAGACGCGGACTGCGAAGACAGCACTGTGACTTAATCAGTTATTTGAATGCTACTCTTGACAGAAGCAGGAAACCAGGAGACTATACAAAATGTACACATGTATACTATACTTTTATCGTTTCGGTCAGGCTTTACAGCTGTATTTGTATAGTTAAACGGTCGATTGCAAGATAAACTTCACCAATGAGGCATTTATAATGAATAAAGTTATCTAGAATTGAATCTTCAAAATAAAACTGTAAAAAGGCTGCAAAACTAAGTTCACTTGGAATTCCTTAGACAGCTAATGTCAAAATTTATAAAAAAAAAATAGTTCCATGTAAAACGAGGATAATTGTTAAGTATGCTCTTCAACTTAATTTGGCCTTTTAACCTTTTTGATTCGAGCGTCACTGATGAGTCTCTTGTTGACGAAACGCGCGTATAAAGGGATAATTCTGGTTTTTTTTAGGAGTTTCATTTTAATGGTAACACGTTAAGCTAAATGTAATCAAGACCTTCTGTCGAGGTATTTGTTTAAGTATATTAAATCATGGTAGATATCTTTCTTTTATATATAATAAAAATAAAATAAATGATTTGTTTTGTATTCTGAAATTTTATTTTCAAATCAGTTAGAAATTTCGCTTTTTGGAGTTTCATGATTTACAATTATGGAAGTGCATTATTCATTGATTACATACCAAGTCCACCAAAGTCTTCGTCGTGAGTAAGTGTTTTACCGTTAGCATCTCTACAGCAGGGTGTGGTTGTGGTACACTGATAAGAGTAGGTACATAGGGTATTTCTTTTTAACCGAAAACTAGTACACAACACAAAACATACTGCACTCTACAAAGATTAGGGTTAATTACAAAAATAATCTAAACATTTTATACTATATATTAATATGACGGAATGTAAAACTTTGATATTTTAAACTTTTGTATTGTCTTGGAGTTTATGAGTATTTAATGAATATTTAAAACCGAATATAAAGGAAATTAGTTGTTTACATAGACGTATGTACGTGCAGTTGGTCTAGATTTGCACATATAAAGCCAAACAGATGAAAAGAACGGCGGACATGTTACTTGCAAAGTTTCAAGTTATTAAGACCAAAAATTATTATATCTCAAAAACCAGGACACGGACTTTACATTTTTTTCTGCTTTTTAAGTTTCTTTATTCATATTCTATCAATTTATTTCAGTCTGTTAAAACCCTTGTTATTTTGAAAGAGAGGAGCGAACATCCTTAAGTCTTGTTTGGGTCCTTTTCCTTGAAATTGTTATGAACATTCTGCAATGTTTACTAAAATAAAAATGTGTTACCTGGCAGTGTTACCTTTGATTTTCATAAAGTCTTACTTTATTTTTTTCTTAGACATTTGATGTAATTGTTTCCTTTTCGTGGATTTCATATTTCAGGGATTAAACACAGATTGTGCGCAACTATTACAATTTACAGTTAAACCTATAATAAGCTGTAACTCATGGGAAGTAATAAAAGTGACTGCTCAAGAGAGGTGACCTTCAAAATGCAGTTCCGTTAAAAATTCCGACATCGCACGTGGCATGGATCGGGGGCAAATTGTTTTAGTGTTTTAATTCGTAGAGTTACAAGTGAGAGGTTTAGCTAGCTATAAAACCAGGTTCAATCCACCATTTTCTACATAAGAAAATGCCTGTACCAAGTCAGGAATATGACAGTTGTTATCCATTCGTTTGATGTGTTTGAAAATTTGATTTTGCCATTTGATTAGGGACTTTCCGTTTTGAATTTTCATAGGAGTTCAGTATTTTTGTGATTTTACTTTAAAGTTTTAGCATTCTTACAATCAGGCAAGTAAAAATGATGGATTCCGACGCACTAAATTTGAAGAAAAACATTCAAACTAGTAAATATTCGAGAATAAATAAGTCGATGATATGGTTTACAATAGAAACAGAAAGCAGTGGAACACGAGAAATTTACGAATTTATCTCGTTGCAAACGGGTTCCAATTCTCATTATGACCTCGATACTGAACACATTTATGTTTCGTCATGATTAAATTTTTACTGATAAAAAAAATGAAAATGACCGTTGTTAAAAGTAGAAATGACGATTTCGTGCTGCAAAAATTAGGTAACCGCTGGATAGAGTTAACTTATATAGAGAAAACATTTTTGGTGGTTTAAGGTTGACCGTTAAAGGCAAGTGACTGCTACAACAACGTGACCGTTAAGGTAGGTTTGACTGTACAAGCTTGTAGAGGCTAAACGGGACTAAATCCCAATTAATTTGGAATATAGCATCTTATTGCCAATTATTTCCGGGTATTTCAGTAATACAGAACACTTTTTTCAAAATTTGTGTTTGTATGCCTTTTTAACATTCCCTCGTCGATTTAAAGCGGTTTTAACATACTGCGTTCGACATAGTTTATAGTAGTTACTTTTTATAAAAATTGTAATCAGGTAATAGAAGTAAAAATCAGTAAACCGAAAGAAATAGGAAGGATTGGCGACTAATCGTTATTCTCGAACATTCTTTTTTACACTCCGATTAAATTATAATTACTTGTGATTTGCTCTTTATACATAAGTTACATTCAGTTTGCAGCATTATGCAATTTTTTTTTTTACAGTCAATATGTCAAACTGAGCTTCAATTGTTTTACCCAAAGAAAGCTTTAACATTTTTAAATGTGAGTGGTATACAATATATTCTAATACAAAAATAATCAAAGCTAATTTAAATTGTATGCGCCGTTTAAAATTGTATTTCTCGTTAGTGGTGGTTAAAAGAGATTTCATTAACAAAATTTTCTAGTTGTATTATTAAGATGCATAGACAAAAATAACAGCCTTCTCACCAGTATAATGAAATTCTGCATTGTTTCAGAATAATATCCTTATTTTCAACTGCTGTACATTCAAATTCCACCACTCCTTATTGTCAGAAAACAAAACTTTACAAAAGTCCCTAGATAACTTCCTGATTAAACAACATATGTTTGGGCGACAGATGATAGTTGTTATTGCAGTATTGATTTGATGTAGTATTTTTACATGTAAGCATGTAGTTAAAAATGACAGCATAATTATTATATAATTACGTGTACTCGAATCTACAAGGTGTACTTTATTATTAAGTTGAGCTAAACTATTGGATGTGTAGACATTTCAGGGCTTGTTTCATTCTAAATATACATGAACGAAAGTAAAACTTAAAACTGAGGACAGTTAAGCTAAATCATCAGAACAACTGAAGCAATAAACCCCTTTAAAAAGTAAAGTCTTGGTTAAATGTGGCATGAGATCCGACACAACTTATGGCACTCTCTGTGATCTTAATACTACGAAATTACCTAAGCGGTTTTACTGACTTAATATAATTATATCTAACACTGTCGTACTTTCACATTAAAACAAGCCCTTTCGAAGGTAAACAAATGTGTTTCTCGCGCTGGACAAACCTCCTTAGTGTATGACCATTTGTAAAGATGAATTATAGTCATTTCGTACCCTAATTATTTCGTACCCCCCCCCCCCCCCCCCCCATTTCGTACCCTGGCAAAAACCATTTCGTACCCTGACCATTTCGTACCTTGACCATTTCGTACCTCATGGAATATTAACATGTATACCATTTCGTACCTCATTGAAGATTTGTATGTATACCATTTCGTACCTCATAGAAGATTTTTATGTATGCAATTTCGTACCTCATGGAAGATTTTTATGTATGCAATTTCGTACCTCATGGAAGATTTATATGTGTTTCATTTCTTGGTAAAAAAAAGTCTCATTGATGTGCGCCATTTCGTACCTTATGGCAGATTTATACGTATGCCATTTCGTACCTCATGGAAGATTTGTATGTTTACCCTTTCGTACCCAGTGTTCGTACCTCATGGAAGATATATATGTTTACCATTTCGTACCTCATGGAAGGTTTGTATGTATACCATTTCGTACCTCATGGAAGGTTTGTATGTATACCATTTCTTACCTCATGGAAGATTTATTTGTATGCAATTTCGTACCTCATGGAAGATTTATATGTATGCAATTTCGTACCTCATGAAAGATATATATATGTTTACCATTTCGTACCTCATGGAAGGTTTGTATGTATACCATTTCGTACCTCATGGAAGGTTTGTATGTATACCATTTCGTACCTCATGGAAGATTTATATGTATGCCATTTCGTACCTCATGAAAGATTTATATGTGTTTTATTTCTTTGTAAAAAAATGTCTAATTGATGTGCGCCATTTCGTTCCTTATGGAAGATTTATATGTATGACATTTCGTACCTCATGGAAGCTTTGTATGTATACCATTTCATACCTCATAGAAAATTTTTATGTATACCATTTCGTACCTCATGGAAGGTTAGTATGTATACCATTTCGTACCTCATGGAAGATTTATATATATGCCATTTCGTACCTCATGGAAGGTTTGTATGTATAACAATCCCTACCTGTCCCACATAGACGTAGCTGCCATTGTAAACAGCTATCACATTGTAGTGCTTCTTGTCTTGGACGAATTGTACTATTACAAAAGAGGGACGAAAGATACCAGAGGGACAGTCAAACTCATAGATCAAAAACAAAAGGACAACGTCATGGCCAAAAATAAAAAGACAAACAGACAAATAATAGTACAGATGACACAACATAGAAAACGAAAGACTAAGCAACATGAACCCCACCAAAAACTTGGGGTGATCTCAGGTGCTCCGGAAGGGTAAGCAGATCCTGCTCCACATGTGGCACCCGTCGTGTTGCTTATGTTATTACAAATCCGGTAAATAGTATAATTCGGTAGGTCACATTCGTGAAAAGGGAAGGGTATTGTAGATACGACATAAGGAACATATCCGATATCCTCTGTGAAACGGTTATTCCATAACGGTCAACCAACTCGTAATGGCGTCCATATAATTTACGAAGGGATGATTTCAACTTCACAATTTGGAACTCTTGGTTTAATAGCTTCCTTGTGAGCAGCAATCCTCTATCAAGGAAATCATGATAGGAAATACAAGCCCGGGAATATCGTATCAATTGGGAGATATATACTCCGTATGCAGGTGCTGCTGGAATGTTGCTACATAGAAATGGAAAGTTCACAATTGGGAAGCTGAAATCATCTCTTTTGTGGTAAAGTTTTGTTTTCAACCGACCCTCATTGTCAATTTATTGATGTAAGTCAAGATATGAGGCAGACTTAACTGTATCTGTAGTATCCTTTATCTCTAGTTCGATGGGATAGATTCGTTCAACGTAGTCTTTAAAAGTTTAGGTATTGGTAGAGATGCAAACAGTTTTTTTTTCTGTCAGACATTGGGGCCTACAGGGTAGTAGTTTTGCCAGACCCATCAAATTTTTGCTAGACCTATATTTTTACTCAAAAATAAAATGAGACGCTTTTGAATAATTAATTTTTATTTTGTTATATATAATTGTAATCTGTGATTCATATTCATAAACATTGTAGTTTATTCAATATATTAATACATAAATGATGACCCAAGAGTTATTCCTCACAGGAGTACTTTGACACAAGATAATCTAATTGTTCTTACGCCAATAATTGGCATAAGAACAATTAGATCAAAAACAAAGACAGTGGCAAGCTACATTTGTACGTCAAAACGAATAAATCTGTTCATACATTAACTAAAATGAAGAAAAAAACACTCTTAGAAAACTAAAATAATACTTGTTTTTGTTTAATTTTATAATTTACTTAAATTTAGTCATTACGACATTAGTTGTCCCTTAATAGAACTTTTGGTTTTCAGTGCTTTTCAACTACATAATTGATTTGGCCATCTATTGTTCCAACTGTTCATGCACCACTGATGTGTCATATGGAGACGAAACTCGTTTTTTATACTAACATTATGTTCTCGTTATGGCGACTTATTCGCGCCATGGACGCATGGTTTTCTGTCTGGACGCGCCATTGCATGAACCGTGCGTCCAAGGAACGCGTCTGATAACACTTGCTGAGTCTTGTAATCAACAGAATTATCCCTCAGCTATCAAAAAGAAGCTGAAAACATGCTTCTACTCAATATTTTTACCGGAAATTTACTTTTGTTTTCATTGCTATGTGTAATGATAATTCCCGAGAAATACGAAAAATAATTATGATCACATGACTTGCGCTAATTGGATAAACGCAAAGAAGATCGAAATATGTTTACATCAGCACATTTTCCTATTACCGGCAATAAATGTGTCATTAGAACTTTCGGTTTTCAATGCCTTTCAACTACATTATTAATTTGAATGCCAAGGTTACAAGAACCAACAAAAATTTCAATTTTGACGGCCCCAAACAGTAAAAATATTTGCCGGTCATTGGGTCTGACACAAAGACGTCATTTGCCGGACCCTCTAAAATTCTGCCCCCCCCCCCCCCCCCAGGTCCGACAGGTCCGACGATTAGTTGCATCACTGCCCGGGCGGGTCACCGTCACTATCAACGATCTCACAGCCTTAATTACCTTAGTCACGTGTCGCCTGTCATGTTTGTTTTTGCATAGTTGCCGTTTCGGCTTGCACTTTTTATGGAAAACCATCTTCAGAAAAAGTTATCTATTGGTTGTCTGTAATTTCTCAAATTGAAAAAGCCATAGCAAGTTCACAAAAAGTGCAAACAAAAAAGTGTAATTAAAACTATTAAAGTTTCCAAGTGCTGCTTTATTAAACCAATCATCGGTCTTTATGAAATTTCTACGGCTGGATGCATAATTTAATTTCTTTTATTTTTTAAAAAACATTAAAATCATGACAACTTTTACAAATATATGATACGAAATAGTAAACATGTATTTAGTCCATGTTTACTATTTCATATCATATATTTGTAAAAGTTATCATGATTTTAATGTTTTTTGAAAAATAGCTGCATTTGCACCACATGGTACGAATGGATTTTATCGAGGGTACGAAATGGTAAATGTTGGGTACGAAATGGCAAATTTGGGTACGAAATGGCAGAGGTACGAAATAGATAAGGTACGAAATGACTTGCTTCCGTCAAGATTAGGTTAAAATAGTTTGAACTTTTGAAAAAAAATACGTAAATGAGGTCAAAATTCCTACAAAATAACATGAAGAACTAAAAACAGACAACTACTGTTTCTCGAGTCTAACCTTTATTAAAATAAGGAGATATGGTATGATTGCCACAGAGACATCTATCCACCAAAGTTAGGTGCAGTCGAAGAATTCTAATAAAAACTGTAGTTAATTGGCCCGGGAACACAGTTATTTTCGTTTAAACTGATAATAAAACAAACTAAAGTTTATTGTAGTCATGAATCATACACATCCCATTTATGCTTGTATTACATGCATTTCATACCCTACACAATGAAATGTAAATTTGGTTATCAATCTTAATGGATACAGCGTATTAAAACATCGCATATCAAGTCGGAAGCCAATCTTTGTACATGCCAACTTAAACGGGAAAATGATTTCTGTTGGATATAATTTAAACAACATATAATCGTGTTTCTTACAAAACGTGTTTCGTAAATAAAATTCCAGTACGTGAATAATATCCCAATATTAAACTGCTGTACATTCAGATCCACCACTGCTTATGGGCAGAAATCAATACTTCACAAAAGTCCCTTAATTTGAAAACTTCCTGATTAAACGACACTAGAACACACCCGCGAAATCGCGGGCATTTAAAGCTTAGTTGAAAGTATGTAAACTGTTGTAGGATGAATTTTTGTAAAAGATTTTATGTCTGGAGAATTTCAGAAAAGGTATCAAAAGTCGAAGGTACTTGGAGACAAGCCCTCTCCCTTTTTTCCAATGTCCGTTTTTTTTTCTGTTAAATTCCATTATTCAGTTCGCGTTTCTGTATACTCTGAACATATGTATATTATAAATAAAGTGTATTTGCTATTACCTATCAATTCCAATTTTCTTCACCACGGCGATCACTGCTATATTATATAGAGAAAATCTATATATTACAGTAGT